AAAAAAAAAAAAAAGGAAAAAAAAAAAAAAAAAAAAAAAAAAGATGGTTTTGAAGATGATACAAGTAACACAAAAGACACTGGATGCTGCAGGTTCAGATGGCTATCTGAACACATACATCTTTTTTTTTTCCTTTTTGTCTTTTTTCGTGATGGGTAACAGGATCGCAACTCTCGGTGTCGCGCCCGTACCACGACCGGCAACGGGATTGCAACCCTCGGTGTCGCGCCCACACCGCGCTCAACCAGTGAGCGGACCGGTCTCTATATGGGATCTGAACCCTCGGCGGGAGCGCTGCCGTACTCTCCAGTGCCGCACTCTACCGAGTGTGCCACCGGGCCGACCCATACATCTTAATTTCACTTTCTACTGAAATCCTATTAAATTTACGTTAGATAAATTTCATATAAAAGCAAACCCAGCAATACCAAGAAAGTAGACAAAAAGCAACATAATTTTGGGAGTTGTTAACAAGAAAGCTGAATCTTAAGCAGTAGTTTACACTACGGATTGCTGAAAAGGCTCTGGAACTAACAGCACCAGGTACCTCTGTATCTGCAGGTTAGAGAAATGCTAAAACAAGAATAACTGTGTGAAATCTGTGTGCAGAGCAATGAGATGCCTAAATTCCTCCCCAACTCCACACTGTTAGTAGCTGCCATTCTTACACCTCAAAGTCTAAAGGTTTTGTCTCTGGAGAGTGAAACAGGTGGTTTATTCTCCAGATCAGGGAACCTTAGGAATACTATACAGATCTATACAGATACATACAGATACCTACATAAATTAAATGTTAGATACTAAGACCATCTCCCAGTCAGCCCTCTTCTGTTCAACTCATATTTGCTTTACCCCAAGCAGGAGATGAGGGAAATTTTCTTATGGGAAGTTTGACTAACCCTTAAGGAAAAAGTCTATGATTGGGCCGGCCCGGTGGCGCACTGCTACAGTGCGCCGTTTGGGAGTGTGGCGGCGCTCCTGCCGAGGGTTCGGATCCCACATACAGACCGGCCGCTCACTGGCTGAGCAAGGTGCGGGAGCAACACCGAGGGTTGCGATCCCGTTGCCGGTCCCGGTCCGGTACGGGCGCGACACTGAGGGTTGCGATCCGTTGCCGGTCACGAAAAAAGACAAAAAGGAAAAAGTCTATGATACTGACACCAGGTTCCCCAACAAATGGTAATTCAGATTTCTGAACAATAAAAATCATAGGCCCCACCCACATGTTCAAAACTTAAAATCAGGATATTAGTTTCCCTAAACTTAACTGTGAGCAGAAATCCAAGAAATACCAGATCTCTGAGAAAACCTCTAACTAGGAATATAAAGACCAAAATAAAGAAACAGACTTGGAGGAAACAGAAACCTCACAGGAGGGAAAAAAATATATTATTAATAAAAAAATAGTATCTTCAGGGAATTGAAAAGATGTTACATACATGAAACAATGATGCTTCTTGAAAAATAAAATGCAGAAAATTTAAAAACATGATAGCAAAAATTAAAACTCAAGAGAATGGTTAGAAGATAAAGGTGAGGAAATCTCCTAAAAGATAGGAGAGAGAAAAGAAGGGAGAAAAACAGAAGACCAGATCAGGAAGTCCAATGGCCATATAATAAGCGTCTCAGAGAGAACAGAAAAATAAAAAAACGATGAGAGAAAATGATCAATGAAATAATTTAAGAAAATTCAGAGAACTAAAAACCATAAATTGTCACACTGAAAAGGACAACCAAGTGCCCAGAGACAATGGATAATAAGAAACCTATACCAAGATATGTTACTATACCAAGACATGACAAATAGAAGATTCCAAACAATTTCAGAGAAAAATAAACAAAACAGGTCACAAACAAAAGATCAGAAATCAGAATTACTTCAGTCTTTTTACCAGAACCCTATAGCAAGGAGGCAATATTCTAAAGGAAAATTATTTACAAGTTACAAATTCTATCCAAACTAGCAATCAAGCATGAGGGCAAAGTAAATAATATTTCAGACACATATTTTTACATTTGCTGCCCATAGATCTTTCTCAGAAATTAAAGGAAGATGTGTTCCAACAGAATGAGAGGCAACCAAGAAAGAAGAATGGGAAACAGTAAACAGATTTAGCACAGAAGAAAGGTGAAAGAAATCCTAGTCCAGAATAGAGTGATATGACTCAAGAGACAGACATATTGAAGACTGTCATCCACACACTTCCTGCCGCCATTGTACCATCTTTTCAAAACTCAGGATAGAATGCCCTAGTAAAACTGGTTCTAACTGCATCAGTATTTGGCTTGTGTTAACTATCTGCTGAAGAAGTTCATATTACTATCCATTTTAACCAATTTCACAACTCTCCTCTCCATACTCTGCTGTCTGGAATGACTGAAGACACTCACTTCTCCTACTGACATGCTCTGGCTTCAATCTACTCCAGAGAGTTGGAGGTAGAGGTAGATCAATCTGCTTAGAAGCAGAAAATACTGAGCAGCTCACTCCCTCTGCCTGCATTCCTGCTAGATGACCAGTAGCTGACTCATACCAAATAACTCCTAGAGATGTATATTCCACAAGACTCACTCATACTTTGCCTTCTGATTTCTTCAGAAAGGGTTTTTCTAAACTTTCTTAATAATTTATAAGAAGCTGAAACCAGAGACTCAAATGTTTAGCTTATCTTCTTCTGGGAGCTGCCTTCTATGAATGGCATTACAGCCCTCTGCTTAGGATAAACTTGTATTGGCTATCCACTCACAATGGGGTACAAATATAGGTAGTAAAACCATAAAGAAAAGTAGGGGATGATTAACACAAAGGTCAAGTAAATAGTTACATCTATTTCCTATTTACTTCTAGGAAATTGTACAGGACAACTGGGAAGGGCATTCAGAGAACTTCCAAGTTCTGGCAATGTTTTATAACTTAATGTGAGGGGTGGGTACATGGGTATACATTCTACCATTGTTCCTTGCATGTTTACATGTATTCTATTCAGTTTTCTGTGTGTATAATACATTTCACAAAGAAAAGATATGAACTGAAAAAAGGAAATGAAACAAAATTGCAAATAAACTATGATTATATGAAGAAATATTAGAAAGGAATCCCAAAAGTGAGAGTTATGTTATGTTATGGTGGTAGAATAATAGGAGAAGGAGATTTTTCTTTTATTTTCCAAAATTTTCTGTGAAATGCTTAATTAACTAATTTTATAATATTACTTACAAAGGAACAAATTAACAGTGGGGAAAATGTATATTATTTATTCACAGCATGAAGTCTGGGTCCATGGTTATCTTTTTTATTGCTGTCCAAGTACCTAGCACTGTGTCTAGAATATAATAGGTGCTCAGTAAATATTTTTAAAATCAGTGTTATTGTTAGATAAGAGGAACCTGTGACTGCAGTTTAGTAACCAGGTTCTTTAATATTGCTTGAGACGTACTTTTCCTTTAAATGTTATGCGGATGTTCGTAATTTGTGGTTATGAACAAATATTAATGTTATATATATATGACAAATATTAATGTTATATATATAGCATATATAATGAACAACTTTTTAAGGCACAAATATGGGGAAAGTACATTATATACAGTTATTCATGCCAACAGAGCTTTACCATCTGTATTACTATCATAGCACATTCTTTTCAAATGTTCTTATGCCTCATAAACCTTAACACTATTCTTATGGCTAAGTCTACTAAGGGACAGCAAACACTATACTAATATCAAACAACCCCTCATATTACTATTCGTTTTAACCAATTTCACAACTAATAAAGTCTTTTTAAACCACTAATGCGAAAGTACTTCTAGAACAGAAATGGTATCTAGTTGATGTGAGGTTAGATGAAAGATTAAAGGTTAAGGGATTTCTTTATCAATTCCCAAAATGTCCGCTTTTTGGTAGACTTTTAGTTCCCTTTCACTTTCAAAATCTCCTATAAAACACAGTGAGACTGAATAAAGAAAAAAATATCTTTTTGGCTTTTAAATGCTTCAAAATGAGTGCTAAAGGCAAAATGTTTTCTATTTAAGTTACATTTTCAGGTGAACAATTCAATGGAAACAGTCTTTTAGTTGACAGTTTCACTACTTTCAATGGTATCAAAAACTCAATTTGAAACATACCTCCTACAGTCAATTTGAAATACAATACTAATGCAAAATTGTGTCAGTAATAATTCAAAGTAAATAATCTCACAGTAATAATATTTCACATATATAGGTTTTGAACATGATTTTCTTTTTAAATTGATATCATGGGTTAATTGTAAAACAAATTAAGGCACAATAATTACATAAATTGAGAACAGATATGTCTTGCCTAAAATTTATGATGATAATTTTTATAAAAATTATACACTTCTCAAACTTTAATGCCTATATGAATTACCTGGGGATTATATTAAAATGCAGATTCTGGTCCACTAAATCTGGGATTGGGGCCTGAGATTCTGCATTTCTAAGAAGTTCCCAGGTGATGGTGATCCTACTGGCCTTCAGATCACACTTTTAAAGTAGCAAGGCTATAGACCAGGGGTCTAAAAACTATAGTGTTTGGGACAAATCTGGCCTGTTTTTGTAAAGAAGTTTTGTTGGAACACAGCCATGCCCAATCCAGCATATTGTCTACAGCTGCTTTCGTACTACAAAGGCAGGGTCAAGTAGCTGCCCCCTATGCCCACCATAGCCGAAAATATTTACTATCTGGCCCTTTACAGATAAAGTTGGCTGACTACTGTTATAGATAATACCCCAAATGTACAAGGGTCTTCAAAAAGTTCATGGAAAGATTTATAGTTTCTTTTAATTCTATTTTTCCAGGAACTTTCTGAAGTACCCTCTTACTATCCACATATGGGAAGTAACAGTAAAGTGTTTAAGTGTCAATGCCATGTCATGGTTTTATAGGATTACATCCTTTTCTTTAGGTTTTCTGGTACAATATACCAATGGACCCCTTTTATTTTGAACGGAAACAAGAAGACCACAGTCTTTGCCATGTGACTGTCTGCTGCACAACAAAACCATTGTTTTGTTTATGAACATAAGAAATACTGATCAAGAGACTAAGAAACCAAATCATAAAGAATAAAAAGCCCGGACAATTCATAACCAATTAAAAAAAAAAAGTCCTGACAATATTAACAATCACAGGTATGGTCCTGACCTAACAATCTCCATAGATGGCTGAGCCCATTACTTACTCTCGTTAAATCCATGCCTAGCTTGAGCTGTGACAAGAGATGTAAGATGACACTACGTTGCTCTTCTACAGCTCCCAGGTCATCTTCCTTGTTGTCACACATATCCTCTATCTCATCATCTGCATTTATTTCTTCAGGTTCCTTGAAGTAAAAAGAAGAAACAGTCTAGTGTTATAAGTACGTACTAATATCCATTGAGAATAAAAGTATGAATATCAGACCTGGGTCTAATGACTCTGGGTATGGGTGAAAATCTTTCTGAAAATATAACTTCCACATTTGGTCACAGAACAAATTTCCTTCAAAGAGCCCATTATTGTTAATACTGAACATATTATGGTTTTGCCATATATATCACATATAAAAAACATTTATTTTGGGGACCAGCCTGTGGCTCTCTCAGGAGAGTGTGGTGCTGATAACACCAAGGCCATGGGTTTGGATCCTACATAGGGATGGCTGGTTAGCTCACTGGCTGAGTGTGGTGCTCACAACACCAAGCCAAGGGTTGAGATCCCCTTACCGGTCATCTTTAAAAAAAAAAAATAAATAAATAAAT